TGCGACGGCATCTTCAAATTGATTATGGATTCCAAGTTCAAGGGCTCGTCGGTCGCCGTGTTCACTTCCTCCACTTCCTGGGCTGTCAAAGGAGGGCCCAAACGCTTCCGCTCACGTTCAGACCAGGATAACAAACAAACACGACTTGAGCGTAGCCTTATGATCTTCATCTTTGCACTGTGGTTTTGGAATCTGCAATGCTGCAAGGCACTCTTCAGGCGATGTAATGTGAGTGTGAGTACACCTGAGTTTTTGGACATCGTGTTGTTCTTCCTGTGGCGCACCTACTGAAACGTCCGCTGAAGACTTGACTGTTCCAAGAAAGACCAAGAATTACCGGGCAAAAAATCATCCAAGAAAACGTGTGAGCAATAAAAATTATCCCTATCCTCACCCCTGATATTGCTTAGTAGGTAGTCCATTGATAGTCCCAACTTGGACCATCCCCATGGAGCCCCAGCATGTTGGATGGCTCAACTCAATACCCCAACCCGGCATTGTCCAGGCATCCAAGCTAGACAGCACCTGTGGCTGTACCGGGCGCCATCCGTTCTCCGTTTTCATCTGCCAGGTGCAGGCGTCTGTCGTGAACTCCAAGGTCTGCCCGCTCTGCGATTCCACCAGCAACAAGGCCTGAGTGGTGAACTTGGCACCTGGGAGCCGAGCATGTGTGACCGCTGTGCCGATTTCTAAGCAATCAATCTGGAGATATGTTGTACAAATACATTGACGTATGTATATAGCATGTTCACATATATAAACGTTATTATGCATATGCAGAGAGAGGTGTACATGTTAAACTTATAGCAGCACAGACAGCAATTCTACAGAAGTTTCAACTGTACACCGGGCACAGGTACAGAGCTTCTTGGCTTCTGTCACACACAACTTGTCAGCCTCGCACATTTGAACGCCAAGACACTGGGACCTGAGTAGGCAGCATAAAGCCGCCAATCCACGGGCGCCTTGGAAAAGCTCCATGCCAAAAAGTTCCCGCTCTTCAGGACCGTGTAGAACTCGTTCCTCAAAGTGTGAACGTGGGGATCATCCACGATGCCCCCCTGGGGCACGCAGCAGCAGACCCTGACGCTGCTGCCACCCCTCCTGCCGCATTTGGAATCGGAGGCAGCACCTGATGACTTGCAAGACCCGGTTGTGCCGCTGATGGTCGTGCCGACGATGTAGGGAGCCAGGTCGCTGTTGACCACGTCGTTGGCCATCAGGGGCGCGTTGCTGCA